TTAATGGATAAAATATCCAGATGGCTGTTTTTGGCTAATGCAGTGAATGAAGTACCTGATTAAAAGTACCTCATCACATTGATGCAAAACATTCTAAATCCAATTTTGCTGTATAAATCATTCCTGTCATTGATTTGTAACATTGCACACAGCGGTATAACACAGAGGATAAAAGGAATAGATATTCTCAAGTATCAGCAAAACCTTTTGACGACTGACAAACTGACACCAATTCACAGTATATATGTTGTTACCCAACCCTAGTCCTTATAGATCCTCTTTAATATAGAAAAATACTGTATATACAAGAAGTAATAGGGAAGCTATTTAGGTTTTATTGGACACCAAATGTACAGTATGTATAACTCACGTTTTTTTTAATAGTTTATGATACTTACTATATAACCATACAATGAGCTTATACCAGTATGTGAAGTGTGGTCTTGAATTGGATACACACTAGCATGGGGCTCATGAGAAAAATGTAAGACAAGGGTGTGCTTTTTCAAACACATCTGGAGTTAGCTGTGTTTGTACTATACATTTACACTTTGGGACAGTCTCTCCTTGAACGCATTGTATTTGTTGGTTTACATGACAAGTGAAAGAAGTAGTTGCGTGAAGAATGAAAAATAAATGACTCTGACCCTATAGCCTGCTCAACACATGAGCAATGTCAATCCTCTGCAACATGGACTCACTTTGACTGCAGATTATTTCACTTCTGACCAAAAAGGGTCCAACTGCAGCACCTCGGACCTCCCCCCCAGGTCTCTCTCAGGCATGGTCACACTTCAAACCATAACACTGGTAACGCAGTTGTGCCCTTGCCCCACAAAAATTGGAACAAACTTTTAAATTAGGCCTTGTTGATCTAATGTGAGTGCAAGTTCAGGAACTGGATTGTTTATTTCTCACCTAAAATATGTTCAGAAACAGATTTTCGTGGACTGCTAAGGTAAAATAAGTTAAAATGTATTCCATATGGAACTACTACTCAAGCTCAAACCCCATTGGCTCACAGAGCTTCAGGAGGACCCTTCTCTTCTGTCTTGGATGAAGCATTCATCACAGAACTGTATTTACATTTACATTTTAAATAGCAGAATAATTATAGAGTGTCTCTAAAGCACACCCTGTAGTTCTTGTAATATATTTTCAAAAGGAAGACACCAAGATGCTTTAGGGTGGCAATAAAACTGACAATAAATGTCAATAAATGTCAGCTTCATATGCAACCTGAAGTTTCCTGATATCCTTTTTAAAATTTTCAGAATAAACCTGATAACCAAAAACCAGAGTCAGCAAAACCCTAAGAAACACACTCCTCAGGTACAGTTACTGCCCGAAACATAAATTCAATCATTTCCAGGGATGCAAAAGAAAATTTGAGCATGTTCATAGGTTCTGGTAATGTATCCGCTCTGATGCCAGAACATCAGATACATTACAGACGAAAATATGAGCCACATTGAGGTCTCAGTTCTGTGAATGAGCATAGCAGCAATCAGTCAGGGCTGTAGGCGTTTTAGCATGGGTGAACTGAATCCCTGCCTCAAGGTGAAGATTAGCTCTTGTCCATCAGCTGAACAACTGCAGTAAATTCCTATAACAATGAAGGAAGTTGGGATAAATTGAAGATTATAATCGATTAGAACTTTTAAGAACCAACAGTGATGCTGACTAGTGTTTTCCTCTCAAATAAAGGCCAGGGCTTTTAACTCACAGGCCGCACACTAACTCTTTTTTTATGTCAGAGTGCGGGGCAAGACTATAGATCTTTCCCTTTGTAAAACCAAGTCTCAACGGTCCAAAGCTCTCTCTCAGCACATCATTAGTTTTTTGGTTTTTTTTATTTAGCACAGAGAGAAGAGAGGAACACCTGCATGCAGCAGCAGCATAGCCTGAGCTGAACCCAGATTCACAACTGTCACAGCATCCAGCCTGCAGCCTCTCTCGCTAACCAAGCTGTAATATTCATCGGAAAAAATGTCAAAAAGCAAGGTCTGAATATTGCAAATAGCAGCAGGTTGCGGCCTTGTGACAGAAAGAAAAATTATTTCAGACAGCTTCGTCAACAGCGCACTATTTCCTGTCAACAAGCCCTAACATACTAACAAAGTTACATGTCAGGGGAAATCTTTAATTTTCCTACTGCTTAGCAAATGTCAAAAAGCTTACAGTTGACACAGCACCATACTGTACTGCAGTAAGTTCTCTCAGATATTTTCGTAACACATCACTAACCCACTCACACTAGGTATTGCTATGTTTACTACACATGGTAATTTCCGATCATTTGCTTCTAGATTTGGGAGTGTTATAGTAGCAGCTGATCTCAAGCAGAGATGAGGAGTGGGCTCTAGAGAACTCCACACCCCCAAGACTTGTTTCATTTTCAAAATTGTAGCCTTCAGCCTCCACCGACACTGACTGAGGATAGGGATGTCCAATCCAATCCGAGTCATTTAATATTGAGTATCTGCCGATACCGATACAGGGTACCAATCCAATACTTGTATTTGTAATACAGTGCCCAGTGCACACTTCAAGTAGATTAAAGTTATGGAAATCAATTCAGTGTATATGCTTGCTAGCTCTGTGTTACATTAAGAAACAAAATGCCTGCATCGAAGCTATTCCTTAATGTTTTTTTAATTTATTTTTTGACACAATAAAGTATAAGACAAGAAACCCTCTGTAATCTTTTTGGTCGTGTCCCTGTCTGGAGGGAGTTTCTCTCTCCAGTGTTTGGTGCCTCGGTGCAGCGTTACTTGAATGAACTGTCTGTATTCTGCTGAGTGTTTATTTCTGTCGTCTCTACATCTTTTGCGCAGATTACATTAATTAATTACTCTTACTGGCTTCTGTTCATGGGACGTTTGTTCCACTTGCAGTGGCGGAGCTGCTCCTGCTCTCGCACACACAGAGCACAATGGAGGAAAAGTAACAGCGAGAGAGCTGTATGACAGCTGACATAAAACAAAAAATCAGATCGGATCAATAAAGTTCAATATAGCCTATAGACATTCATACAAGAGGACATTAATCGGACCTCTCACAGTGGTCTGTGGCTAGTGCCACAAAATGCTTTCTATACCTTTTTTCACATATATAGTAGTACTCCCTAAGATCTATAAACAGAACATGATGTGTAAAATTGTTGGTTTACATTTAAAGTCTTCATGAAGTCAAAATTGATGTTTAAGTGTTTTTTATCCCATGTCTAGCGCTGTACATCACCTATACGCCAGTATCTGGCCCTACAAAAAAAGTCATTTTGGAGGTATTTTTAAATGCTATTTTTGATGTGTCATTTCCTGGAAAACAATAAAAAAATTATGACTCATCTTGTACTTGGGATTGTATATAATTTTGCATCCAATGAAATGCTTTCCTTCTTGTGATGCCACTGGGTGCCGGTGTAGTGCCTCGCCAGAAACGGACGCTTCTGACCTCAGTGATTACTGTACAAAAACACAACTTTATAACTTTATTCACGAATTTGGGTGAAACTGGCTCGTGTTTAATGGACAAAAGATATTTCGGCGCTGTCTAATGTATTTGCATTAGTTTCCTCATTTGCAAAACAGATTTTGAATATCTTTAATGGCACATTACATCCATATCTACTAGCAACTAGTCTTCACTGCCTTTGCACACACATTTCTATGTTCCTTTGCGTGTTACTGCAATCAACCGTCTATCAGTGGAGTACTGTGAAACCGCGTACATTTCAGGCATGTGCACAATACAAACAAATGGGGGACCCATTTATCAAAACGTTCCTCCATAGCACTACTAGTGGTCAGACACTACACTGGGTACCTTTAATAATACTTCCTTCAGATCTCCTTGACTGAACCTGACATGAATACTAGTGTCAATTTGAGATACATTTTGCAATGGTGTTGCAAGTTGCTGCAAACCAACATAAGAGTATTTAGTCAATGGCCCTTCAATCTCTGCACCAGTATAAACTGTCTGAACTGAAAATAAACTCTCTCGTTTGTTTAAACTGATAATGGTGTGTTTGCTTCTTTGCCAGTGTGCTGACAGTTCAGTGACGTTATGTAAATCTGTTTGAAAGTGACATGCTTTAGTGAGAAGCCGTGCCCACTTCTGCAAGGCCACTTAGGTTTGGAAAGTTAAATAGCTGTTTTTGCTGAATGACAAAAAACATGCATAACCTTTATTCTGCTTTCACACAAAGAGATGCAGCAGGGAAAATATAATGTGTAACCCATAAAGGGTTGCGGCAGTATACCAATTGCTTATCTACAGTATTGAATTCTACTGTATAATGTTATTTCAAAAATATAATGAATTCAACTTTATTTAAAGGACCAGTGTGGAACATTTAGGAGGATTTACCAGCATACATGGGATATATTTGTTATAGGTATGTTTTCATTAGTGTATAATCACCAGAAAATAAGAATCATTGTGTTTTCATGACATTAAAATGAGCAGTTTTCTTCTACGGGGTCCGCCATATTGAACCGCCTTGTTTCTACAGTAGCCCTGAACACACAAACCAACCCTGGTTCTAGATATGGCTATTTGTTCTATCTGTCTATCTAATCCAAAAAATATAGGATATAATAGTTTGTAAAATTATAATAAAGGGTTTGTTCAACCCAAAAAAAAAACCTTATTTGATCTAAGGGTCATTTTAACAGATGCTGATAATAATATATTTATAAAATAATAATAATGCGTAATACTGTTATACTGTGAATCCGTGATATTTTCTGAGGCTGTTATACCTTGAAAATCTCATACCATATATAACTACAGTGGTAAAAAGGGTAAATTATTTATTTATTATGAAATGAACACAAACACATGATATAAAGAGAGTAACTATTGAATAAATAATATCATATAAAGGGCTTTAACTTTTAAATTGTAGGTAGAAAATGATACTGTCCACATGTAAGACAACAGCAAAACATGCAAAACTGTTTAATATAATGAAAACACCTCAGTGCACTTACCGATGGTAATCTGACTGACACAGCTGTAGAAGGTTCCCGAAGAGACATTGTAGCTGCTACTGCTGGGCTCACGGTCTATGACAGGTGGAGAGATCACACATACAGTAAGGTACAGTATCTGGTAGACTCTTTTATCCAAAGCAACTTACACTGCAACAAAGGCAACAAAGTTGTAGTTTCAGTTACTTGTACGCTCTTGTAATGGATGTGTGTGGCAAAAAAGTTTTCCTTGGTCCCAGAGAATCATGTATCCTACTGTTCCAAATGTGTCCACTGATCCACTAAGCCTAGTGCTGTTCCTGAGGGCTTGAGAAAAGCCATGACCCTGCAGCGTTACAGGAATGAAACCCCTAATCCTGCAATGTTAGTGCCCTGCTCCACACATCGAGCCACACACGGGAAAAAACCCTTGACCTTGGCAGAGTTGACGGAATAAAATCCATGAGTCTGGCAGCTTTAGTGCTTTAGTCTACCCAATTTATATAGAAAGGGAATGAAATCATCCACTGTGGTGGAACACTGTGAATACAATTCATAACACTAGCAGCGTTATGAGAATGAGCCCATAACCCTGGAAGAGTTACAGGAAGAAGACCCTCCACTAACCCTGATAACCGAGTGAGAGTTTGTTGCTTACTGATTTAGTCTGCAGATCTGAAGTGCAGCCATTACCCTTTAATGAATTGGCTATAAGAGAGCAACTGCATCTCACAGTAACATTCTCTGATGATTGTTAGGTCAGTGTAGCAACTGTATACTGTATGGAATGTAGTCGAAAAGGGGAGGCACACGTTGCAAAAAGGTCTGGCAGCTTTACTGGCACAAAAAAACAATTTACAGAATGGTTGACAATGGTCAAGTGTCTTATCATTTTAGTTATTGATTAATCTGCACACCATTTTTTGACTAATCGATGAATTGTTTGGCCCATAAAATGCCACAAAATAGTGAAAAATGTCCATCATGTGTCCGCGTTGGTGCTATGAAAAGTCTTGTTTCGTCCAACCAACCCAAGGACATTCAGTTTACAGTGATATAATACAGAGAAAGCTCACATTGGAGTAGTTGCACAAAATAAAATAATGTAACAAAATAATGGATTAAACAATTAATCGATTATTAGAATAGTTGCTGATTCATTTTTTTGTTGACAAACAAATCAATTAATCGAAAAATCTAAATCAAAGTTAATAGGTTTTCATATGTTCGCATGAAGCACCTGTTAAATAACCTATTTACCAAGCAAGCATACACGAAGAAATATTAGGATTCTTTTTGAGTCGTGTTTCTGACCACCTGGCAAATTCAGTCCAAAACTGACTTTTCTTTTAGGCTTTTGGTCTCCACCAGGGGCCATATTTGGCTCTTTAGCTGCTAGCTATTAACTGTGCTGTTGGTGTTGGGCAGGTAGAGTACAGTGGGTTTATCAGACGATTTGGTGTTGCGACAGGAGACCGGGTTCACGAGAGCTGTGAAACTGAACCACAATCATTAAAGCTGTAGTGCGGTGAGTGACAAGGATGCTGGAGCATGAGGCAGGAGGAGCAGACCAGAACAATGAGCTAAAGGACTCTAAAATGCTAGATACAACTGAGAGGAATTACAAATGTGAGCGTCACCTAACATTACACATTGTTATTTGATCAATTGTTAATACAAAAATATTGAACAGTGCAGCTTTAAGATACCTGAATTTAAGGATGCACAAAATGGATTTTTGCTGATATGATAACCAATAATTACCTGGCTGCTTCTCATGTCAGATACTGATCATTTCACATTTTGTATTTGAAAAGGAAGTTTATAACCTGTGGTTTATGCAAACCTGAGGGTAAGAAAGGCTAACATGTTGTGAGCAAAGGATGGATAATTTAATATTCTAAAGCTCAGACCTAACCAAGTCAAACCGACAACACAAAAAACCCTAACAGTTCTGAAACTTTAAATGTTCATTTAGTTTTCTCAAAAAGTACATCAAAAAACTTCACAAACATACTCTTTCATAGAACGTAAACCTCTTTGCAGCCTCAATGCAACTTAATGCAAGTAAGTTGTGCAAAACTTTTCAGTTTATATTGGAGTAGGTATACAAGGTGCAACTGTGATGAATTTTCTGTCCACTAAGCTGCATTTAAAAAAGGCTTGTCACTGCCATCAGGAATCAGTAATAATTATTACTATACTGATATATAATTACCGTATTGGAATTACTGATGAGAAACAGTGCTTGCTATCACTGAGGTTTCATGGTCAATTAATAAAATAACCTTGACACTGGCAACTGAAGGCCCGATTTGGAACTTATCAAGGGAGATAGAGGTTAAATCATTAATCTGTCTCAGCAGAGGCAAAGAGTTGCCATGCCACTGCAATCACTGCTGAAGGCACCAAGCAGTAAAATTTTTGCATCGACTGAGAACTGAATACAATTGCTTCTGCTCATTTAGCAATTTGGAGAACTTTTGTAGAATCCCCTCATTTCCTTATTCTCTAATCTAACACCTACAGCCGCATCAAAGAAGAGCAACTGCAGCACAGCGTGGACATTCATCACTGACTGGGAGTCTTTTTCAGCGTAAGCACCCGCTATTGCTTCCATGTTCGGAGATAAAGCTGCAGGTATCAATTATTACCGAAGTTATGGGAAGTCAGCATGTGGACAAACCATATCAGCCCCTGAGCAGCTTCCAGTGACATCCATAATTTATCTTCGGATGGCGCTTAAAAATGTTAAATAAATGTGAAGTTCGGTGTGCAAAGTCATTTCATTCACAATGAGGTCAACATCTGCTTTGTGGATTACATTTTCATTAAAGTAACCTCCAGTTTAACAATCTTAAATGACTGCAGCAACTTCACAGGATGATAGATACTACTGTTGGTAAGAAGCCCACTCTGATGAAGCATCCCTCTCTCGGTGATCTTTCCACCTATGGAAGTTGTAATTTGAAAATAAAGAGCACTGAATTCATTTTGGGTGATTTAACTTCAGTGTTTCTGAATAATACCAATCTGGATTGTCTGCTCTCGGATATTTACAACAAGAATATTCCATAATTTTCACACATTCTCATTAAAAGAGGTAAAAAAGATACTAACTCCTTGTGCCTACATATTAAATATTACTAAATAAAACTATTTTGCTTAGGACTCTGGTCCCCATAAACTAAATTTAAAGCATCTTCCATAAACTCACAGACTGATGTGATTCATAACTCCTAACATTCACTCTTTATAAGTCTTGAGTTGTCCAAAGCAGTTATTTGGAGCGCCACACCTTCATCTCAGCCCACACTCAGCAGTGCAATGAGGCGATATGAACTGAGGATAACACAAAAGGACACATGCGATGGCAACGACAAGTCCTGTTACTGTATGTGTCCCATGTGGCTGCATAGGATGCTTTTACCTGCGGATCCGGAGGAGAGGCGCGTCGCGATGGCGCGGCGAGGACTGCGCGGACTTCCCGGACAAACCCGCACCACCTCCTCCTGACATTGCAAACGGATGACCTGGTTCTCCTGGTTTTCTCCGACCTTGCTGCAGCCCATGTGCTCGCCCCCGGCCTGGATCTTCATCGCTGTTTTGATCTGACGGACTAGTCGCATGTCTGCTCCTCCTGCCTCATGCTCCAGCATCCTCGTCACTCGC